TTTCAATACAACGTCGGTTTCGGCAAACATCGTCTTTTTCAGTTCTACTCTGAACCGCTCGGATATAACAGAATAGGAGGCTCCGGAATCCACCAGAGCCCGTATTGTGTCGCCTTCAACTTTAATGTCAATGTAGTTGTTCGTCATTTTCACGACTGTCGACAGGGGAGGAATTATAGGTTGTGCAGCGGCCTCACCTCCATTTGAGGGCGCGGTTCTTAGTTTTCCGATTGTAAACGCCGAGGAGACTGGCTGGCTCGTCTTGTAGCACTGCGACCAGGGGAACTTCCGCGTCTAGGAGAAGGGGAGGGGCTGCGATAACGTCTGGTGCTGACCCTTTGATCAGCGTCGTTTGAGTTATTGTTGCGTCCGGAGTTCGTCATTGTCCTGGCCCGATCTTGGTACATTTCGTCTCTTCTCTCATCAAGTAACCTCCTCCTGTCGCGGCAATAGCGGACAACGTGGCCGGGCCGTCCACAGTGGAAGCATACGGGCGTGCCGTCTGGGGTCCTCCACTCATTAGTGTCCCGTACTTCGACTCTTGAGCCACTTGCTTCGACCTTAGGTGCATACCAGGTGTTCTTTCTATAGTTCCGTGGTGCTGACCTCGCCGCCGATTCCATTGGGAAGGTATTTATCCCCGACATGGGAGCGAGGACTTTGTCGACTTCCTCCTTCACTATTTCCTCAAGGGAGGAGATTCTTGGTTCTTCCCGTGGCGGTGCTAGGGCCCGCTGCACTTCTTCTCTAACGATCTGTCTTATCAGAGACTGTAGATCCGTCACGTCCCCCAGGTCACCGAGCGAGGTAACATTGGGCAAGCGCTCGAATTTTGAGGCTGTCACTCGTCGTCCTTGGAGCGCCACAACGCGACGACACTCTGCGATAAACTGATCCGTCGTCGCTATGTCTCTCGGCAGAAGATACCGGTAGACTTCCTCTGCTACTCCCTTCATCAGATGAGATAGTCTCTCTTCTTCTGGCATCTGTGCATCTACTTCCCTGCAGAGTCGCAAAACATCTTGGATATAAAATTCAGTGGTTTCGCCCCTCGTTTGAGCTCGCACCTTTAGCTTTTGCTCGGCTTGACGCCGCAGGTTATCTTTCTTCCCAAATACGGATCCTAGTTGGTCTTTAAATATCTCCCACGATGGGATATTTTCCTCATTATTTTCGTACCACCGTTGAGCGGTACCGTGTAGATAAAAGTACACGTTAGCCAGACTGAGCGAATCGTCCCAATGGTTATGTCTTGCCACTCTCTCATAACCTTTCAGCCAGGCTTGGGGGTCTTCGCTGATCTCACCAGAGAACATGGAAGGGTTCCGCACCACATTCTGACAAAAGAGTGGACTCACCTGAGTGGTCGCCTCGCTTCTGTTGTTCATCGTCGCTGTGTTGTCGGGGGTAAGTCCTTGTAATCTTCTGCTTCTTCTAATAGAGCGTTCTTCTTCTTTAGGTACCCAGCTGATCTCCGCCACTTTGTAGAGTAGAATAAATTAAATAGAATTCGATGTTGAGATTAAATATAGTTTATTTAAAGTAAGGTTACAAAGAAGAGAATAACGGGAGCTCGCGCAGTATGTTTACAAATGGCAGCCAAGAACCACCTCATCCGCGCATGCTCCCACTGTTCCACTGCGCGCGCACCTCCCGGGCCTCCCCCCGCGCATCCTTTCCAAATGGCGATGCATTCATATTTCACAATATATTCTAAAAACTGTGTTTTTTTAAAGACATAACATCAACCGAGTAGTGGCCGCTAACCAGCGATGTAAACAATGAGGTGTCCCGGAGAATTATGCGCCATGGGGGTCGGTAGAAGGATGGTCTAAACCGTTTGTTTTCGACTGCTACGACCCGGGGTCGAATCCCGCATTGGGAACTTTTTAAAAATTAAAATAAAATGCTCCATTGGCCTCCGTTTCTTGCAAAAGTCCAACCCCACTAGTGGGTGAAAGTCACCAAACGGGGCTCTAGCACATTTGTAAGTGCAAAAGTCGAACTGCTTTTCAAATGTGTAGACATGTGGTGCACTTACAGTAAAATCATTCACCAAAATTCTACCCTCCATGATTATCATGACCTTTACTACGTGTACTAGGGATAATAATAATAAAAAAATGACGCGCCATCTTTCAACCATCCTTTCATCTCTGTCAACTAGGTCCTGAAGACATGGCTGACAATCGAAGCTGGTATTTTGTCGAGCGAGTCACGTGATCAATAGATGTCTCCAGACGACTCCAATCTCCTCAGCAGTCATTATCTCCCTGTACGTTAATCTTTAATTGCTAAATTAATACTTTTCCATTTACACCTAATTTAAAGTTACGAGATAGTTTAAAATGGAACCCATTTTCTAATTGCAAAATTCGAACGGAGAGTTCTCTATTGAAATTAATTATTGTGAGAAAGAGAATAATTAAAAAGATCGTTTTTAATTGAATTGTTTAAGTCTGAAAAAATAGCAACAAAAAATAAGAGGAAGAAGATAGAAAAAAGTCATTAAAACTTTTTAAAAATAATTTATCTGTTTTAAGAAAGAACCAATGAGAAGCTAGCATATAATCACGTGATAATACGGAATCCAATCAGAGAACGAATAGATAGCACGTGACTTTAGGGCAAAGCATATGATTTGATTAACAGGACTTTGGGAGTTCATTTACAATAAACGGCCCTCGGGTGAGAAGGACCAGCTTTATCCAATTAATACTGATTATATTCCTGTTTATCTTGGAAGTCTCTTAAATAAATTTTTAAGTTTCCATTTAATTTTTAGCGTCGTTAATTCCCGTGTTAATTAGGAAGCCTGGAGGACAATTTATAAAGGACCAAACAAACGCTTTTTTTGTTCCTTTTTCTTTCTGCTCATTTTTTTTCTAGCATCTCATCCTCCGATTAAATAGAAACGGGTGAAAAAAAAGCAGCGCTGACATCGTTTCTAAATTCTTTCCTATTTAAAAGATTTCGCCTTTTAGCATCTTCTGCTTTTTTCAACTTGGAAAAGTTTTAATTTATTATTAGACCTGGCACGACAGGTTTATTGATGATGTCAACAAGAGTTATGAAGGAATGGCTTTGTTCCATTGCCCGCTATTGGCTATTGAAGAGTTTTCAGCACAAATGGTTGGGGCTTGTGGAGCCTTGTTTTCTTCGCTGTCTGAAATATTGATGGTTTGGCTAGATTTGAATAAGTAATCAGCCTTTTTGGAGTTCTTTTTTTGATGGCCTTTTAATGGAAAATATATGGAAAGTGTGTTCGAATGTAACATGAGTTGTTTTTTTGTAGATACTGAGAAGAATCAGTATAATATTATTTAGTGGGCTTTCCATTGGGGTTTCACAGCATACAAAAATGATACCATAAACGATATATAAATATAATATTGATTTGAAAGTACCACAATATATCGTTAGCACTTTGGCATACATGCATGCTTCAGTTTGAAAAATTAGGAATACCATGTTGACGGAACTTTCCTATATTCTTTATAATTTTTTTTAGTTGTGTTTTGAAGAAACGACAATTGTTGATTTGTTTTGACGAGATTATTTCTGCTTATTTGTTGTAATTTGTTGTTATTGCCATGTTTTGTGGCGATATAATTCTTGTTAATTAACCAACGAAAATGTTATTAGGTGTTTGACATAATCTTTAAATTCCAGTCTCTTATTCAGCGGTGATGGTGAGGCCTTACTTATTCCAGACAGATGCCTCTCTCATTTTTAAAATACAAAACAACATAGCCATCTTTCAAATTCATAAACTGCATTTATTTAAGCTCTCAGTCTTGTAAAGGATCCTTCTGTGGGATCCAACAGAAGTAGTAGAAAACAAGAAAGGTTGGATAGGAAGAGAAAAAAGGAAAATATATAATACACCCATAAATCCTTGTATCTCAGCTATGTACATAGAATGTATATTTATTCATCAGTTCAGTGTGTGGTGGATAATATCAACAGGATTCAAACAGAACAGGAAAACATAGAATAGCTAAAGTAAGAACAGGAACGGTACATTCTTATATGATAAACATAAGTAAAGAACACAAATTTAAACGAGTTGTGTTTTCTTGCTATACATATAGATTTAATGCGAAACCTTCACTTATTATATAGCGTCAGGTTAATAGCTATAGTATTAAAGTAAAATTTGCATATCCTGACCGCTTACATGAGCATTTTAGATGTCAGAGGGCCATCAATTGGAACAAAAATCAACTTAATGTTGATTTAGGCTTGTTATTTAATATTTGGCCAACCCGTTTTCTTGCTGAATCAAGAAAAGCCATCCACGAATGCTTTTCGGGCTGTTGGCCCCCGTTTATTCTATTTATTTTCTTATTTTTCATATCCAGTATTGTAATACGGAGACTGATACTACATAACCTTCGAGAATAATAGTTTTCTCTTTTCCAGAATATTTGTGCAATGTGAAAATATATATTAGCGAGATATTTCGGTGTTTATTTTACATTTACAAAGATTGCATATCCGGTGATAAATTTTTAATATTCTCTTATGATCTTTCCAAAAGAGTGATTAGAGTATTCTTTGTTTATATTTGTGTGATTTAACAGGAATGGGATGGTTGTCGGTCAAATACTTCTCAGGGAGAATTGAACAATTCAGATTTGTTTAATTAGGATACAATTTGTTACTACAAATTCCCGACTGGCCGTATTGAATGGATTGCTATATTTCTCTCTATAAAAGGGATATTGCTTTAAATGATAAATGTTTTTGCAGAGGTTCTTAGCCAAGGGAATCCTTTTTTTTTTATCCCTTGTACACGTTGTACAGGCCATGATAATCATGGTGGGTAGTTAGCGACTGCTTTTACTGTAAGCGCACCACATGTCTACACATGTGAAAAGCAGTTCGACTTTGCACTTACAAATGCCAGAGCCCCGTTTTGTTACTTGCACTCGCTGGTGGGGTTGGACTTTTGCAAGAATCGGGGTCCATTGGAGCATTTTTTTAACAGAAAAAAGTGTCCAATGCGGGAATCGAACCCGGGTCCTAGTGGTCTAAAACCAAACGGTTTAACCAGCCTTCCACTAAGGGTTAAGAATGTCGGCTAATTAGCCCAACAAGGTATGTGCTTGTGGATACTTGATATTTCGGCAAGATTGGATCGACCTATGATGGGTATTCGATTCTTCACCAGATTTCTGATTCAAAACTTCAGCGTCAATTTTATTTTGTCACTCTTTGTGAGGTTGCCAAAAAATCTATAACGCAAAATAAATCCAGGTGTATATCTTGGAAAGTGGGAAAATATCTATAATCTAGTTGTTTTTCTTATTTGCCCAAATCAAGGCCGCATATAGGAGAGTTGACCAAATTACTGAATCCAAGAGTTATGTATCACTTGAAGTGAGTTTATTTATTTTTTATTTCCACAGTTATTAATATATATATATCCATACCGCCTATCTGTGTAATAAATGTTAATGTTATTTCATGATAATATAATCACAGCGTTGATTATTTAATTTTATTCTTAAGGAAAATTTCTTCAACCTCTAAATAGAAGTTGAGATTGTTGGGATAGCCAGCAGTGGGGGAACTGAAGTGGTTTCTCTAATTCTCCAACAATGCATTACCTATTGTTCCCACTTATATATTCGAATTTTATTACTCAGTGAGGAAAATGTTTTCTCTAAAATTTGCGTTGTGTAGATTTCAAGAAATAAAATTGTGGCATGTGACATTTTTCTTCATCCGTCAATAACGTGCAGTGGTAGAGCGCTAGATGATTAATAAAATCAAGATTACAAGCAAAAGATTCAAGATTTGTAAAAAAAGATATGCAAGTAAATTGAGTTTTGAATTCTGATAGTACATTCAGCGTAAATAAAAAAAATAATTTTAAAAATTTTAATGAGGCAATTTAAAATAGGGATATATCAAAACTTGAGCTACGGATCATAAGAAACGATCCTTCATTTTAAAATATTGTACTAAAGTACATTAACAGAATATTTATATTTTACTCAGAACCTAATTGATCAGATGTCAGCTTCAATTACCAATATCATGGCTCAAAAATTTGAAAGAATCCAGAGCGATCTGCAGTCCAATAGGTCTTCATGCGCTCAATCTGTTCGTAACATAAGCACTAAAGAAGTTATTAATATATAATATAACTAGCGAATGTATGGATGGCTTCGCCCGGTTTTTACCCGAGTAAAGGTTTGCCTAACGAACATTTGTTTAAAACGATTCTAGCAAACATCCAATCCCTACTGAATCTATACTTGTCTATACTCTCGATAATTTGAAAATTTTTCCCGGTCCCTTGAAAAATACTCGATAAGTTGAATAAAATCAGTATTAATGGGTCCACTCGGTAATTTGAAGTTGAAGGAATAGTATCTTGCCACAAACGAACATTTGTAAATAACTGTATTTAGCGAATGTACCTGGCTTCGCCCGGTTTTTAACCGAGTAAAAGTTTGCCTAACGAACATATGTTAAAACGATTATAGAAAACATCCAATCCAGCTATATATAGATTTATAAACGTATATATTGTTATATGCGTTTAAATATATTTTTGAAACACGCATTTTTTGAAAACATTTATCAAATTTTAAATAAGATATTTTCTTTAAATATATATTAATATTGAAATGCCAAGTTTTTTTTACAACGTCATTTGAATATTATATTACTAAATCCTCAAATTAAATTTTAAATTTATTATACTTGGAACACATTTTAGAATTTTTACAATTTATAAGTGTAATTTCACCAGATACCGCGAGAGGCGCTGCTTGTGAGTGAAAGTAGAAAATTTGCAAATAAAATTGCAACAAAATCAAATTCAAACCAAAAACCTTCCCAGTAGTATAGTAAATAACTTCCTAAAGTTTCACGGCGATTGGATAATCTTTCCTTTTAAAAACATTCATCGTGTAAACAAACTAACAAACTACGTGTAAAATTATTAACCAATCAATTTCATTCATCGTCGCGACCAGTGCTGCGCCAAGCGGTAAAAGGTTGGAACTAACGCTTTTTGGTTTTACATTTAAAAAAAAATACATTAACCTTTTTAGTTTTTTAATAGCCTATATGTTAAACGAAATTTTCAGCTACCTACATGTGAAATTTCATAATTTCATAATTTCAAAATTTCATTTTGCGCAACGCGATAACAAACATCGATTTTGGATTTCATTTTTATAGATATAAAGGATATATAAATGAATTGTATATACTAGAGATAATTGTCACATATTTAACCATTTTCAAAAATATAATTATGATTATCTTTCTAACCTGGAAGTATCAGGTTCTTAATATATATTATTGTTTCTTTTTTTTTTTAATATTTTCTTATATAATATGTTTATAACTGCTGTTTAAAAATGAAAATCGACGCAATTATCCCTAGCCAAGATATCGCGTTTTGTGTGTTGAAATAATAATAATAATAAAAAACAGAATATTAATTTTTATATTTTCTACTCGTTGTAAACTTCCATCATTGCCTCTCTGGTATATTATAACCGTTGGTTTGTTCTTGACATAAATAAATCGCTGCATCATCCAGAGGTTTGTCTTTCCTAATTTACTACGTGACAATATTTCACACTAACGTTTCAAGTTCCATTTACAAAGCAAACGCAAGTAAATATAGCTGAACATGTGGATTTCAAGGTCTCCATGGGACTTCTTGTCGACATATGCCACCATCTTCAGCGATGGGACCCACACCATGGTAGGTTTCAAGTGTGTTTGACATATCTTGAAAAATTATCACAAACGTTTTCTCACGTCAAGTTGTTGCGAAATATGTTTGGTTTACTTGCGCGTGTTATTCCGACTTACCTTGGCTAAATGGTATAGTATTTGGTAGACTCTGTGTTACTACTAAATCTACAGTACAGCGCCTACAGTGGAGTCTACCTAGGTTGACAGATCGCCACTAAAGAACACATCTTTGCTGATATTTTATTGGAAAGTAGATTCGATCACACATTTCGATTCTCATTTTTGGTATTTTAAAAAGTTTCGATCAAAGAGGGGGTTGCTAATGAGTAGTTAATTTGACTATACATGTATATACAGAGTCTATACATACATATATGTATTTATATAGAACAATAATAAGGCCTGTACTTACATACGGATCAGAAATTTGGTTTAAATATTTAAACAATCGTTCTAAACAAAAACTGAATTCCATGCAGTACCAGATCATTTTATGGGCAGTCAGAGCATATAAAACTACTTCATCAAACTGTGTGCATAGTCTGGCAAAAATTCCACTCCTAACAGACTATATAGAATCTAGAATAATCAAATATGATCTAGCTCATCTGTCCACTGAAGATCTAATTGCTTACGAACCCCATGCTCCAAGTATAGTCAAATCATTCTTACACGCAAAAATGAAAGAAATTTTTGATAATACTAATGAAATTTTCAGAAGCTTTTTCGTGTCTGGAATCCCAAGATTTTTTCGTCCAAATTTTTATAATATCCAATTCATTACAGATCATGGTAATTTTGGGAAATTTTTGTCAACTATCGGCGCGGTGAAGGAACCGGGATGCTTCTGCGGAGGTGAGATTCAGGACTCGAAACATTTACTAATGAATTGCCCAGTTTTCCGGGTTTATAAGGAAAACAGGTTTGGTCGTATTGGACAGCTTGATGAATTTGTAGACGATAAAGAGAGGTGTAAAAGTTTTGATCAATTTTGCAAATTTATTCACAACTTTCTTTTGAAATGGAAAAGGGAGAGAGAAACTTAGAAGGAAAAGATTGCGATGCTTGCTTTGTTGTTTTGCTTTGTTGTTTGTTTTTCTCTTCGGACAATTTTATTTGGTTAATTATGTGAAATAATGAATTTAACAGGATTGTATATAGCCGATTTGTTGTGATGTAGAGAGAGGTATCGACGCTAATGTCCCTGAGTTTGGGACATCGCGTTCCATGATGTTAATTAATAAATAATAGTCTTATAGAGACATTCACAAGTATTTTCACCCGAGTTTATTACAAGCATCGCATATATCGGTCAGTAAGTACTAATCCGTTTCATGTAAATAGACACACAAGTGTGTGGATAGATATTAAATTATAAGAGGAAATGACCAGAAAAGGTATATTAGGTATCATACAGCACAGGTTTACAGTGAATAATGATCTTGTTTTTACAATACACTCGTGAGAGGACATTTACAAGAATGGTGGCATTTAGTGGCAGTCACCAATTAGGCTGGTCTCTAACTCCTAGGTATGGAAGAAAGGGTGTTCTTGTAACACCCAGGGAACTCAACAGGTGTCTCAGCCGGCACCGTGATTCCCGCTAGATAAATTCAGTTTCCTAAAGGTTCTCTCCGTTTCTGTCGGGATGTAAAGCCTTCCTAGTACATAGCTATATGAGGTTTGTTCTCTAAGCTCCAGTTTTATACTTACTAAATGTATCGGGTAGGCTTGTATGCACAATTGTGGATCTAACTGTTCAAGTGGGCAATAATATAAGAATAATTAAGATTGTTTTCCCCATATATCTGAATAAATATAAACTGAACGTTAATTTATTTGTTTTATTACAGAATATTGGTTGAAAACCGATACTTAATATATCAAAAAAATGTAAGCACGTATGCTGTTTGGGCTGTTGGCTCTCTTCAGCAAGCTAGGACAATAGTAGAGGGCGTGAGTCACCAAGAACGTTCAAAATATTGACCAGAAGTTTTGATAAAATGTTCCAATCCGACGACACATTCCTCTCTTTGTTCATCACCGACACGTAGATAATTCAAACCTACTCTGTGACAATTCCCAAACAGACAAGGCAATGTAAGAAAATAAACAATATAAAAGAGAGAAAGTTTAAACTATTTAAAGTAATTTTAACTTCAAAGTTCCCTTTTACCAACTTTAGTTTTAGTTAATGAGGAAAAATCATTTTCTAGAAAAGGGGCCGGCCGGATCCCTCAATAATTCAATCTCCGCCGACCTGAATTATTAACAGATCGCTCTCGGGCCAAAAATTAAGCGCAATTCAATAATTTAGAATTGAGCGGAAGTTTCTGGTCGCACGAGACAAAAAGTGGATTAAAAC